TGTGATCCTCCTGCCTTAGCTTCCCAAGTAGCTGGGACTACAGGCATATACCACATAGCCCAGCCAATTTTTGTATTTTCTTTGTAGAGATGGGATTTCACTGTATTGTCCAGGCTGGTCTCAAACTCCTGGGCTTAAGGGATCCACCTGCCTTGGCTTCTCAAAGTGCTAGGATTTCAGGCATGAGCCACTGCACCTGGCCCCATACATTAATTTTGATAATATAATTTATAAATCAATTTATAAATAAATGGAATTATACCAATTGGTCTTAGGTGTTTGATCTTATAAACAGACCCAAAATTTGTATACTCAGATGAAATAGCACTAATAAAATGTCAAGAAAATTTTTAAACAATTTTTAGTCTTAAACAATACAACTAATAAATTTGTAGGTTTTGCTCATCCTAAGTGCAAAATACCAGAATAAAATATCAGAAAAAATAACAGAAAAACTGTTCTCAGTCTTGGTAATGAGACTACTCAGGGGACCACTAAGCCACAGGTCCTATCAGTAGTATCCCTGAGTCAGAAATATACCTTCACACTTAGAACTATATTAAAGTGGCAAAACTCACATTTCAAGTATCTTGGAAATGGTTTCTGGATAAACTATGCAAAAACAGATATGTATTTGCATGGAATGCTTGATTGTCGGTTTCCTATTCTGCCATTGCTCTGAAGATCTCTTTGGCCACATTCAGTGAAAACATGATATTCAGCAAGTTAATCTCCTGGGTGTTTTAATTTGAACTCTTGTGGTTTATTCTTGTTGCTAATAATTTTTAATTTGCTAGGTCACTTTGTGCTCTTTGCCACTGGCTAGCATAGCCTAGTTTTCCCAAGAAACACTTGAGTACAAAACCATTACTTAAGACCTAGCCCTAATGCCCATGACTTAGAAGGTTCACTTGGAAGCCAAAAGAGCAGAACTAATATACAAAGCTTGGTGTATCTGGTTGCCGGGCAAATCGACTTGCCTTGCATATGTGAAGATATTAAATTCCTATCTAGTTAATTAAAAAGAGCTTCTTCATGTATCAGTGCAAGATCTTCTCCATAAACAGGGCATTAAGAGTTTACTCTTGTTTCAGGAAACAGGATTCTCTCCAAGTTTCTCAGACTTTTCAAATTTGTTGTTTTTTAGAGGTACCTACTGGTCCCCTGTATTTTTCTTGTTAGCAGACTAAATTAAAAAGAAGCCAATTTATTTTATAAAGATGTTTCTGAGAAATATAATTAGTTGGTTTTAATTAATTTGAATTGCACATTTTTTTCTTTACTTCTATTTTAAGGCTGAAAATGTACTAGTTCAATTTCAAACAGGTTAATGACAATATTTTATAGAGAGACATTGTGGAGTAGATATTAAGAGCCAAGGTGCTGCTATTCAACAGACACAAATATAAGTCCTAACTCCATTTTTTTTTTTTTACTCTCTGATTGACCTGAACCTTGGGAAAGTTATTTAACTGTTCTAAACCAGAATGTGCCAGACATAAAACAAATTCTACCTACCTATATATGGTTGTTTCCAGAATTAACGCCTATAGTCCATGCACTGCATGGTACAGTGTCTGGAGCCTGAGAAAGGCTCCAATAACAGTTATTATTATTACTTATGACCATAAGGTAGAGGGGTATGTGTGAATTTTTGAAGTGCTTTTATGAATATTATTCATTCTATCTTTAAATGAAGAAAGAGGGGTGGAGTCACTCACAATGAATCACTGACAAAAGGCAACACTGACATTAATATTCCTTGCCTGCTATGCCAAAGTTTTCTCACTTTGTCTCATGAATAAACAAAAGCCTATATAAAAACTGAACATTCCGCGATTAAAAGGTGTTTTTTGTTGTTTTTTTAATAAATAAAAAGGTAAGACAGTCAGGTGCAGTAGCTAACATCTATAATCCCAGCACTTTGGGAGGCTGAGGCAGGTGGATCACCTGAAGTCAGGAGTTTTGTGACCAGCCTGGCCAATGTAACGAAACCCCACCTCTACTTAAAATACAAAAACTAGCCGGGCATGGTGATCCCATGGCACCTGTAATCCCAGCTACTCAGGGACCTGAGGCAGGAGAATCACTTGAACCTGGGAGGCACAGGTTACAGTGAGCCGAGATTACGCCATCTGGGCAACAAGAGTGAAACTACATTAAAAAAAAAAAAACAAAAAAACAAACAAACAAAAAAAAAACCCAATCAACAAACAACAACAAAAAACAAGGTAAGAGTAAGACAACAAACTGACTGCAGGAGAACAGTTCTTGTTATAATCCAATTTTGGTTCAGAGTCTTAATGTAGTGAAATCTGAGCCCTGATAAAATACTGAATTCCAGACACTAAAACAAAATCTACTAAAATACAATTATGGTTTAGGCTTTAAATTTTTAGTTATGTGTCTCTGTTTCTAGGTTCTTTGCCCTATTCAATTGGTCTGTTGCTTATCCACGTACGAAGACCACCTTATCCTAATTACTGCAACCCTCTATGCCTTGTAGTGCAAGAACACCACCTTGTTTTTAAAAATTGCTTGGCTATTTTGTATCTCATGTGAATTTTATAATCAGCATGCTAGTGGGGTTCAACGTAAAATTATGCCATATTGGCAGATATTTGAAGGGAACTGATATCTTTATGGTGTTAAATCTTCCCATCCATGAATGTAGTATAATTCTCCACTTATTTCCATCCTCTTTTGTGTCTTTTGATTTTTCTCTTTATTAAAGTCTTGCACAACTTCAGTTATATTTGTTCCTAGGTATCATATAGGTTTTGATGCTATTTGCAAAGGTACCTTGAAAGAAAACATATTCTGATTGTTTTTGTTGATATATAGAGAGATAAGTTTCTTTATTCATTGATTTTATATCCAGAAGCTTTTTGAATGTTTGTTAGTTCTAATGGTTTGTGTAGTTTCTTGGACTATCATGTCTGAATTGTAATATTTTATTCTAATTTTTTATCTCTCTCTATATATTTTCTGTCTATACATATATATAAATTAAAAAGCAAGAAAAAATATTATAATTCAATATATGTATCTTTGCACTATTGTGCTGACTTGGACCGCTGGCATAATGTTGGTATGGTGATGGGGCATCTTTGACTTACTTATTACTTTAAATTGAATGCTTCATTATTAAGTATATATTTGTGGCAGATTTTTATTAGGCAACGTATCTATTTCTATTCTGATTACATTTTTTAGAGAAGCTTACAATATCAACATGATTACAACATTCATCCATTGTGTACTATACTCTCTCCTTAAGGTATTATTTAGTCTTAGTTATCTATTTTGATTGTTTAAAACTTAGTTCCCGGCCGGGCGCGGTGGCTCACGCCTGTAATCCCAGCACTTTGGGAGGCCGAGGCGGGTGGATCACGAGGTCAAGAGATCGAGACCATCCTGGTCAACACGGTGAAACCCCGTCTCTACTAAAAACTACAAAAAATTGGCTGGGCATGGTGGCGCGTGCCTGTAATCCCAGCTACTCAGGAGGCTGAGGAAGGAGAATTGCCTGAACCCAGGAGGCGGAGGTTGCGGTGAGCCGAGATCGCGCCATTGCACTCCAGCCTGGGTAACAAGAGCGAAACTCCGTCTCAAAAAAAAAAAAAAAAA